TTCGGGCGGCAACATTGGTTGTTGTTTGGTGTGCCGCTGATTTCTGAAGAAGCAACAAAACAAACACGGAAACTTCCATTTGCCTCAGCCCACGGGAAAACTAACAATCGCTCCAGTAGTGATACATGCCCTTTAAAATCAACAAGGGAAAATATACATATTCTTAAGGTAGTGATAGATTCCCTTTAAAACCAGCAAGGGAAATTAAAGAAAACCACTTAAGCAAATGGCACGAAAAGGGCATGCAGTTGAAGTCCGCATTCGGTTAAGAAGGCCTATGAGGCGGTCGCAGGTCACCGTGTTCAGAGGGACTCCTTGGCCTCGGCAGATGGGCGGATTTTTTTTTTGGAGTTGGTACCCCTCTGCTTGGGTTCACAAAAAAAGCCGAAAGGACCACCACACTTTTTTTGCGATCACCTATACCAACCATTGTTGGAGTCAAGCTGAGCTATGCGAGCGATACCTCTGGTTGTGACCCCTTGAGGTTGAACATCAACAAAGCGGAATAAAACGCCGGTTGGGACTTTCTGTTTAAGTCCCCAAACCACCACATAACTAACCATCCATCCGAGGCCAGGCTGCGACTGCTTGATTCCCCCCAAAGGGAATCATGCAAAGTACTTGCAAGAAGGGAATCTGAAAAAAAAGAAGCCCTTTGATTGGTTGTGTAACAGCCTCGCTTCTGGAAGACAAGCTCAACCCGCCATCATGTAGAAATGGTCCGTTGCATTTTGATTGAAGTTGATTTAGTTTCATGGGGTTCCTTTAGGTTTCCTTTGGGTTCGCGGTGTGCTTCCTTTTGGCTTCCTTCCGGTTTTGCCATTTTACCCTAGGCCGTGGTTGCCTGACCTGTCATTGAAATTCATGGCTATCCTCCAAAACCCCCGGAGAGCAGAGGGTGTTGTTCTTGCCTGCGTGAGAAGTGGCAAACCGACGCATGGCAACGGCCGCAAGTGCTCCCTTCAAAGTCAACTGAAAATGTCTGCTTGGCTCCTCAAAATGTAGAGTAGTTTCACAAGAGCTTCCAGCTCTAGGTTCCCTTCAAGCACCATCTGGAAAAAAAGGGAGACGAGCTCCTTGCCTGTTCTTTCACTTGGACCACGAGGTCCCTAGAAAGAAAGTTCCAGCAAGACTATACCTAGCCACCAGTTTCCTTCGAACATTCCTGGAATTCGTCTCATTCCCTGTAAGCATAGCCTTGCCAAAAAGGAAACGTGTGTTTCACTGGCGACCAAATGGAGATGTTTAGAACAACCCTTCCGCTGTTTGGGGTTGAGCCAGAGGAAAATCAAAATAACGCGTTTTGGGGATCGCCCTAAACAAGGGACACACCCATGATGTGCCTAATTACGAAAGACACTAATATCTATCTGCACCATTCATCAAAACACGGTCCAACCAGCATAACACAAGAAGGAGTTGGACTGTCGGACATGTTCGCTTACTGAAAATGTGCATGATTCTAGTCCTGCTGCCAGAAGGTTTGCACCGCGGGAAACAGGAGAACTCTTTCACACGGTATAGTTTGAAGATACCCCACACCGAGTAGGCTTTGGTGAAACACTTTTCAGATGTACCAATACCGCCATGGGGTACCCTGCTTGAAGAGGCCTATCCCGCATTTTGCGGGATCCTACAAGCCCACATAAGGCTCCAAACCCTTGAACAAGGCCTTTGGAGGGTTGTAGGGTCCCTGGTGTGGACAGGATGCCCATCCGGCCTCGCATCATATCAAGCAAGCCTCTGCAGGGCGCCTCGGGAAGCTCGACGAGTGCCCCAAACATCATCCTTCTGATACTGATGGGTGTGGTACATCCATTTCTTTCACTCTAGCTAGGTAGGCTACGTCCTGTTGGGACAAGTTGGAGCTGGAGCAGTCCATGTATTTCAAACCTGACTGTCAGGCAAGAAAGACAAATCATGAGTACGGATACACCCTTCGTGAATCCCTTTGCCTTGCTTCCCTGAAAAATTATGTTCGTTAAGGAGTCCAAGGCCCAAGGATTCGGATTCTCCAACGCCGGTGACTTGCCAAGTTCGGGAAACAACATTGTGGCTCCAGAAATGTTGGGGGCATCTGCTTCGAGTGTAGACCTCCCAGTTCGCCGGGTGTGTAATCGGATGGCCTGTGGATTCGTAAAGCCGACACAGATGGCATGTTTGGCCTTGGGAAGACAAGTCGTCTGCTTCCCCGGAATCCCGAAAACTCCCCAGGGTGCCCTTTTGTAGCTCTGTGGATTCCCAGCGAATCCCAAAGAATGATGAGCCAAGGGCACCACTGGAAATCTGGAACTTGGCCAACAAGATTCCGTGCAGCTTCTAACTTCAAGAATCAAAAGGCAACAAACAACAACGGGGCCTTTCTTAATTGCATGCTGCTTTTAAACGGAGACTCAGCCAAAAGCCTGCTTTTTCAGCGAAGGGTCAAACATTGGAAACCCAAGCGGGGACAGGGATAAGCAACTCATCGCACCATCGCCCATCACCCTGTCCAAAGGGAATTTGCACAAACAATTGGAACGCGAAGGGTGAATGGCGTCTAAACGAAAATTGAACTGACGCCATCCTCTGTTGTCCCTGCTTTCTTCATGAGCCCCATTGTGGGGTTTAGATCTTCAGTGGTCTGAGCTGGCCTGGAACCCCATGAACACGAGCTGCCAAGTCTTAATCGCCCGCAAGTCAACATGACACCTCCGAAACGAGCTCAGTTTCGATACATTCAAGTGTCCCAAAGAAAGGAAGTGTAGTAAGAAGCTGGATCTAAGCTGGTCTTCCCAAGACAAACAAATGAAGAGAGCGGCCGCACCTACTTCTGGTTGCCGTCCCTTACTTACTTACCTTCACTTGCCCTGGTTTTGATCAGCGCTCGAATGATTTGAGTTGATCATACCATAACTCTTTCCAGAGATTCTAAAGGAGGATTCCTCTAAAGGAGGAGGTTTCCTGTGTTTGAGTTCCCATGTTGGGGTGGCTCCCTTTTTGGTGAGGGCCTCACAAAGACACACGCCCCTTAGGCGGGGCCATCGAGCCCCTGGCAAGCTCTTGCGCCCTCGTGCAGGCCGAAATGATGTGGTTGAAGCTGTCTGTCTCAGCGCCTGAGCGAGATGGGCCAGGTTCAGGAACCCAAACCCAAACCCACTCAGAAACACTCCAAAACCATGTCGAATTAGTGTTGCTCACCTGGGTTGCTCGAAAAGGGGAAGCACATCTAGGTGAACAGGCCTGACTTTGACCTCCCAAAATGCCTCAAACGGAACGCGCATGTTGCAGAACTCTTGACACCCTGATTTGGCCCTGGCACCACCTCCCTCCGTTTCCATTTTGGGCCCCAGGGTTTGAGCGATCCTCTAGAAGTTGATTCCCCATTCTTTTAAACCGTCGTTCTTTTCAAAAACCGGCGGTTTCCCCTGGGGTTCTGATGGTTTTCTGGAAAGAAGGATCCCTGGAAAGAATGGGGAAGTGCTTTCTAGAGATCCATGTCGCTCACGTGCTGAGCCGTCCGGATCGATCCGTTACCCCCTTTGAGCTGGCAGCTGATGCCGTAGGCGTCAAACTTCTGCAGCATGCTCAGAGCCTCAGCGTCTGACAATTGTGCATTTGAAGGCTTCTTAAACATGACTGTTGTGCAGGATGACTTTGAGGATGTCACTGCAGTGCGCTCAGTAACTAGCAGTGTTGTTTACAGGTTAGGGGGTGCCTCCACATTTGGTTGCAACATGAACACACACATGCCTGGTTTCCCAAATAAATATAGGCAAAGCAAGAACAAGATGGAATCAAGAACAGGCCAACATCACGCCAACACATGCTAGGCAGGCCGCCAACAAAACACATGCTAGGATGCAGAAACCAAACGCAAAAGCGGGCCAAAGCAAAACGCCAAAACACAGCATGCCAGCTTCCCCGCTTCAAACAAGGTCAATAAACAAACCCTGGGTGTCCAAAGAATACGCATGCTACAATAAACAGAGCACATTGTTCATTTCAAAACAACTCCAACATCAACCACGCTGCGTCTAAAACAACCACATACTAGACAACACAAAAAAAAATACATGTCGGGCTTCGCAAACAAAAGCAGCCAAGCTACAAAAAGGTGGTTTGTTTCCCACACAACGACAGATCAAAACAAACAAACACAACACACCCAAACTCAGACCTCCCCCCGCCCCTCCCCCCCCTCCCCCACCTTTCCCCTACTTGTTCCCAGAACATATGGACGACGACATGCCACTTCTGCGGCAAACAACAGCTCAGGCTGAGACCATCTGCCACTTGCCTGGAAGTGAAAGAGATAGGCAAAACAGCAAAAACGATCCTTGTGTGCTGCTTTCAATATTTTTGAATGTATTGTTGACACAGGATCAGTAAGCTCATAGTTGATTCTACACAGCGTGCCAAAAGGAATTTGCAGGAGAGTACTGACGTAGCAATCCAAAATGTGGTGGCAGAATAGGTGCTTAGTCACGATGTTACACCATCATACCAAAAATCAAAGTCAAAAGTAGGCAAATGACATTCCATCCGAAAGGACGACCTTCTCCAATTATCTGGGACCATCACAATCATACCAAAAGGGGTCTCCAGTTTTTGGATACTGGAACACCCTGCACTTCGCTGTTGTTCGACGACTTTACTTGCAACATTTAGCGGATTAACTATCACACTCAAACATATACAAGTACATATATTATACCAGTCCTGGCTACCCCTCAACAAAGCAAGAGCAGCCTGCTTAAGCAATGCGTTTTGAACTATTTGGGTGTGTTTTTCTTGGAGGCTACCCCTTTGGGGTTGATTTAGAGGACAATCCAAGGGAGCCCACAAATTTTGGTGGGTGTTGGGGAGCCGGTCGTGTCCTTTTAGTCCCCCTTTCAACCGGTACCCTCAGAAAAAGAAAAAAAACACGACCACTTGTTGCTCGATAGAAGGCCGGGGTAAAAACCTGTGTGTGTGTGTGTCAAGGCGCTGCCACTGTCACAAACAATGCTTGTGTTATAACTTCTGTTTGTGCGCTGCTTGCTGACTGCGCATCGCTGCATTCCAAAAGGCTCACTGCAACAGGGACCAGTGTGTCGCGTTCCAAGAGCTTGCTCTCGAAAGAAAAGGTCAGCTTGGGACGCAAACAAGCCTCTGCATCCATCAATACCGCGTCAATCAATCGGATCCCCCATGGTCCACTGGCCCAACCCATCGCGACCGCCGCGCTCGAGAGCGCGAGTCTGGGCGCCGGGCGAAAGGGTCCACCGACGTAGGGCTCGTTGCGGCGCATTTCCGCGGGAGCTAGGGCCTGGCCATCGAAGGCCCAAATCCAGATTCCAACGCCACATCTGCAGGAAATTGGTCAAACACCCTCCAAACAAGAAAGGCTTGGGTTGGGACCATGCCCAAAAAACAGCACTGAAGGGGCGGGGGTTTGACTAACAAACCTTTGAGTCACAATCAAAACCTGGTATTAAAGAGGTCCACACCCATTCTGCCTGGATCTGTCGTTTTGCTTCCCATGGGAGCTTCGCGCGTGCCTGCGCCGTCTCATCCAGGAACTGCGGCGGTGCTCGAGGCTGAGGCGAGTCCCAAACCTCATCGGCAGCTCACGGCTCGTGCAAAGCGACGTGGCTCAGTCTTTTGCCTTCAACTGGAAATGTTGGCCTCTCGCTTCCTGAGCGAGCGGGCCAACATCGTCCGGACTCTTTTCGGCCGCTAAAAATGGTTTTCCCTGAAAAGTTGAAGTGTAGGATTTCAGGGAGGGAAATGTGATACCTTAAAGGGCAACCAAAAGGAACATCAACGCGCCTTGGCGCCCGTTGACACAGACTCACATGCCTGACTCTAACAAGTGGCTACAAACACATAGGCGTTCGGCAGTCACAGCACACGGTACAGTAATCATGGCTCGCGGCTCCCTTCATCGGGGTTGCTGAAGCAGGTCCAAATCGTTCTCTTTGAAAACTCAGGCGCTCAGCGGAGCAACGCAGGTAATACAAACAGGGAATTGAAGCACATGCAAAAATGCCACCAGCACTGTGCCACCAGCACTGTCTGCGTGGACAAGTCGCTCATCCCACCCTCTAAATTGTGGCTTAAAATCATGCAAAATGGCCAGATATTAGAAGACTAATTTTGCTCCCCGCACCAAATATGGTTTTCAAGTACCCCAACGTCCTATTCTAAACGATTCTCAGCCCGAATCTTGAGAATCCCCTCATTTGAATTATTTACTCTTTGTGGCGGGGACCCCCCAACCCACCCCTCAAACGATGGCTTCCCTCCCCTTTAAAACAACACACAAAACACTCATAGCCCCGCAGCCCAGCGGAGACAGTGGCGCTGGGGGCAACGCCACGACCGGGGAGTGCTTCACCCTCGGCGAGTTTGCCGTGCGCTGCTTCAACAGCGGCTCCAGGTATGGGTCTTGAAGGTGGAACATGAACACATACGTGTGTGTGTATATATATATATATATGAGTCCGTGCAAATTTATGCATGCGTGTAGGGTCCATTTTTTCGTGAACTACATTTTGTTTGGACAACTTATGAATAAAATTTATCTAAGAAGGGGTCGCAGGCTCGAACCCCCCTGCCGGCTCTTTGCCGGCTCTTTGCCGGCTCGGGTCTTCCGTCCAGGGAAGCCGGGGAAATGGAGGGAAATGAAAGGGACACGAAGGGAAGCGGAGAGCAATGAGAGGGAAATACACGCACAGGAAATTAATTGAAAATGAAGAGGACATGAAGTGGAAATGACAGGGAAATGAATTGGACACGAAGGGAAGCGCAGGGACATGGAGGGAAATTACGGACAGATTGAATTGAAAGGGAGACCATGGACAGGACCATTAAGGGTAGATGAAAAGGACATGAGGGGGACATGGAAGGGGAATGAGAGGAAATGAAAGGTAAATGAAGGGACAAGGAAAGCAATGAGAGGGAAATGAAGGGAATTGACGGAGGGAAACCAGATGAAATGAAGATAAATGAAAGGGAAATGAAGGGGAATGGAGGGGAATGAAGAGCTATGAGTGGGAAATGCAGGGAAATAACGCGAGATGAAGGGGAGGTGAAAAGGGAAAGAAGGGGGAATGGGACCCGAAAGGGAAAGAATGAGCGGCGCGCGCCGAGGGGACATTCGTGGGAGATGCAATGTCGGCGCTGAGCGGGAGGCTCTAAAGTTCTAGGTTTGTCATATTGCTGTGGTTCCTAATAGGGACTCACTGTCTGGGTTCTGGGAGTGACCCGGCTTCGCTCCTGCCATTTCCAGCCAGCAAATTTCAGATGTCCTAGGAAAACTCAAGAAACAAACGCTACTTACAATAATTCTTACGGACAGAGGCCTCTTTGTTCATATGGGCCATGGGTACCCCGGCTCTCTCCATTGTTTTGTTCTTGTGAGGCGAGGAGTGTGCTGGGTTTAGGGTTGGTTTAGGCTGGGTTTATGGTGGTGGCTTTGGGTGGCCCAGCTGAGCTTCACGAGCCGAGGTCAGATTACTGCCTTCTCGAACCGAACATCCCCAAACCAAATCTATGCATTGAGTCATGCAGAGTTTGTGCTTTTGTTTCGGGGGGGAGGAGCCTTTTTGAGACCAGTCATGTTCTTAATTTCATCATATGGCAATGTTGACCCCGGATTACGCAGCCCCCGGATGATGCACAAGAGCCATGTGAAACACCAAAAAAAAAAAACAGCAAACACGTAGCCTATACAATCCAAGGGACCCACATTTATCTAAGAAATGAAGGTCGAGGACATATTGACTGTTAGCCCGAAAAGGACGCAATTGCTTGTTTCACATGGGAAAACTGGGTGGGCTCCGCGCTACTTGCCGCCAACGTTTACCAATGTTGCCTCTATGGGTTTGTCGGTCCCCCCAAATTTTCAAATGGTCCATGTTCCTTTGGTTTCGCTTTAAACCCACCAACAAAAAGGCACCCGCGGCGAAAAAAAAGGACAGTCCCATGTCAATCGACTTTTTGTCTGGCTCATCTGGGCTCACGCACCTAGAGGGTCGGACACCCTTGCTGGGAGGCTCAGTCTTCGCCTGGGATCCATTCCAAGAGGTCCATGCATGCAATCTGGGGCTTGCACGGGCGTGTCCTTTGAGGCTACAATTTTGGGGATGATTTCAAACGAAGCCAAATAAGAAACCTGTTAAAGCACACCTTTAGGGTGTAGGGTTTAGGGTTTAGGGTCCCATCTCCACCCCCACACCCACCCACACCAACACAGACACACACACCAACAAACTGCAAGAAACAGCAAGAACAGCAAGAAAGGAAACAAACAAGGAAAACTGCAAGAACAGCAAGGACAGCAAGAGAAAGCAGTGAAAACAAAGGAAACAAAGGTGACAAAATGCAGGCCAAATGCAGGAACTACAAGAAACCAGCAAGGAAAAACAAAAAAGAACAAGAGAAAAACGAAGAAAAGACAGTGAGCAAACTGCAAGAAACAGCAAGTGAAACAAAGGACGAAAGGCAAGCAACAGCAAGAAACAGCAAGGGAAAAGGAAAAGTAATGAAGGAGAAAACTGAGAGAACAGCAAGAAACCAGCAAGAGAAAGCAAGTGAAAACAAAGGAAAACAAGCTGAAAAGTGCAAGGAACAGCAAGGGAAAAGCACAAGAGAAAAATCAAAATTACATCAAAATTTGACAAGTTTTCACCCAAATGTCGCAAGTTGAAAAAATTGGCAAGTCGAAATGTTGGCAAACAACTGCAAGGAAATGAGGGTTTAGGGTCAAGAAAGTGCTCCTAGACTCTACAGTTTAGCAGGGCTCGCACCGCTCGCCCTGCCTTACAAGTACAAATCTTCCAAACTACTGGCGCCAAAAATCATTTTCTGGACGTTCCACGTTTGAAGCCATTTTTGATATCATTGGAGGCTGCCAATAGCCCCATTTGAATCCTCACACCCACTTTACCAGTCGCATAACAAATCTCAGCCTTCCCTGACGCTCCTAAACAGAAATTCCCGGTCCCAGCTTGGTGCAGGATGATCCCCTGGTGGTCCCAGTTTGGCGGGGGAGCCCCAGACGAACTGCCCAGGATGATCCCCTTGATGGTCCCAGTTTGGTGGGGGAAGTGCCCAGGGTGAGGGAAGTGCCCAGAATAAACCCCCTGGTGGTCCAATCCTGTTGCCAGCTCTGGTCATGTTGCTTCATTCATGTCTGGCTCTTCATTCATGTCTGCTGTGTTCATTCTGCTTCACTCATGTGTCACCTGGTGGCTCATGCCTCAGGCCTGCTAAGCAGGGCCTGCTGCAGCCACGCCCAGCAGCCATCCAATGCAGCCAAGTCAGGGCGACCAAAAAGCTGGGTGTAAGTTCTCACACCCAAGTTCCTTCTGATCTGCCCAATCCTGTACAAGGCAGCTGTCCTTCTCCTTAAGAGAAGGGAGCCCCTGCCCCTGCCAGTCCTGACCCTTTCCACTCCACTGCCCTTGGGTTTAAAAACCCTTGCCACGCACTATCCCAGATCTCAGAGCATTGGATCTTCCAGTGCCCCCCTGAACCTCTTATGCTCCTGCTCAAGAATGTAAGCCACCCCCACCATCCTTCCCCTTTTGCCAGGCTGTTCCTGGCACAGGGCAACTGCTCCTGCTTTGGGTGGGGGGGAGCAGGGACTACCCCCAACACACTGGACAAAAACCTTGGTGAGCCTGCAGGTTCAGGCATTAGGTGGGGGGTGGCACAGGGCCAGGGGTGGCCTAAACATGTTCTTTACCCCCCCCTCCCAGATCTCTTCCTGGCAGAAGCAAAAAGCACACACACAACACAAACAAGGACACAGTCCAGCCTGCTCCGTCAAAGGCCAGCCCTCCTTGACTAGCTGGGCTCCTTTCTGGCTACGCCTGGGCAAGCAGAGAGAGACAGACAGACAGTTAAGAGCAGCCAAGGCACCAAGGTGGACTTGGCCATCCTGCCTCCTGGACCCCGCAGACCACAGGGTGGTAGGTTGACTTCCCCATGAGGCCAGGAGGAGACAGAGCAGCAGGGTGAGGCTGCTGAGCCAAAAGGCAGCAAGTTCAAGGTATCAGCAGCCCAGCAACCTCCACACAAGCAGACAGACACAAGACACAGACACACATCATGATCATCATCATCACCATCAGCAACATGATCATCATGATCATCATGATCATCATCATCATCATGATCACCATCACCATCATCATCATGATCATTATCATCATCATCATCATCATCATCATCATCATCATGACCATCATGTTGACCATCATCATGATCATCATTATCATCATCATCATGATCATCATCATCATCGGCATGGTACAGGTTTACATATTTGGGCATAGTTTTATAGATTTTGATATATAGAATAAAACTATAGCCAAATTTAATATTCAATAAATTTCTGAAAACTTAATACTGAATTTGGCTATAATGTATATATCTAAAAATATATGAATAAATTTTAACCAAATTTGATATTTAAATAAATTTGGAACCAATAATATTCAATTTGAATATAGTTTTCTATATTTCAATATATATAGAAAATACATACAGAGTTATAGGCAAATTTAATATTCGAAAAAATGGATATAGTTTATATATGTATATAAATCTATATTACATTTAATCAAGTTTAATAACAAATACTTTTTAAAAATGTTAACGTGAAATTTGGGTGTAGTTTGATATAACTTAATATATATAATAAGACTATAGCCAAATTGAATATTCAATACAATTATGAAAATTTAATATTCAATTTGGCTATAGTTTATATATATAAAAATATGAATAAATTTCAATCAAATTTGATATTCAATAAATTTGGAGTCAATAATATTTATGAGTGTAGTTATATATATTTGATATATATATATATATATATATTTGTGGGGAAATTTAATATTGCTAGGAGTCATTGCTAGGAGTCATTGCTAGGAGTCATGCAAGGAGTCATTGCTAGGAGTCATTGCTAGGAGTCATTGCTAGGAGTCATTGCTAGGAGTCATTGCAAGGAGTCATTGCTAGGAGTCATTGCTAGGAGCCGTGATTGCTAGGAGTCAATGCTAGGAGTCATTGCTAGGAGTCATTGCTAGGAGTCATTGCTAAGGAGTCATTGCTAGGAGTCATGCAAGGAGTCGTTGCAAGGAGTCATTGCTAGGAGTCATTGCTAAGAGTCATTGCAAGGAGTCATCGCTAGGAGTCATTGCTAGGAGTCATTGCTAGGAGCCATTGCTAGGAGTCATTGCTAGGAGTCATTGCAAGGAGTCATTGCTAGGAGTCATTGCTAGGAGTCATTCCTAGGAGTCATGCAAGGAGTCATTGCAAGGAGTCATTGCTAGGAGTCATTGCAAGGAGTCATTGCAAGGAGTCATTGCTAGGAGTCATTGCTAGGAGTCATTGCAAGGAGTCATTGCTAGGAGTCATTGCTAGGAGTCATTCCTAGGAGCCATTGCTAGGAGTCATTGTTAGGAGTCATTGCTAGGAGTCATTGCTAAGAGTCATTGCAAGGAGTCATTGCTAGGAGTCATTGCTAGGAGTCATTGCTAGGAGTCATTGCTAGGAGTCATTGCTAGGAGTCATTGCTAGGAGTCATTGCTAGGAGTCATTGTTAGGAGTCATTGCTAGGAGTCATTGCAAGGACTCATTGCAAGGAGTCATTGCTAGGAGTCATTTTTGCATCTTTGCCAGGTCCCTGGGTTTGTATTGCCAGCTTGATTTCGTCTCAAAGCTTTCCAATTTCACGGGATGGGAACCGCTGTCCACCTGACGCAAGACATAGCCAAAGAGCCGCTGCCCAAAATTTTCGACTGGTGGTGTAGAGTACCACTAAACCAAGTTTAAGTGAAATTGTTAGAACTACCAGGCCAAAGGAACTTGAATCCGACAGCTGCCAAGGGAAACTCATCAACAAAAGCAAACACAAAGCAACACCGGAGGTCTGGAAAAAAAGAGGCTCGCAAGGGGATTCCCTGACATTCCCTGACCAAGATTTGACGTACATGACTATCACAAATTGCAGCCACATGACCCGTTTGAAAGTAGAACCTACCCTACGCGTCAATGCTTGAGTGGGCACCGAAGGCCAAATCCCGGATCACGCCGAGAACGAAGGCTGGAACAATGCCCCAACCAAAAAGGGCCGATTGCTGTGTTTGACAGTCTTTCATGCTTTGCTGCAAGCGGGTTCAACTTAGCGACTTAGCAGCTAAGTGAACACCCGGCATAACCCACTTAGGGACCGAATGATAACGTGACTGGGATATGACCCAGGCTACTTCCCACTTACCAAGCAACCAGCCGGAAAATGAGAGGCAGTCAGCAGCTTCGGCTCGGCTGGACCCTTTTTAGACCCTGGTGCCGCCCTGCCGCTTGTTCAAGAGAATATACCGAGAAGGGTGTGACAACCATGTAGGCTCTTTCTTGATTCGACCAAACAGTGTGTCTAGTGGAGCATACAAATTTCAATCCCGTGTCAAAAACTTGGCCCACATGTTGGGCACACAGAAGCTAATATGCTCAGATTATGCTATGACATAGATTTGGAGACCCCAACAACGAGATCCCAACTTTGTCTCTCTCTTGAGGTGATCCTTCAAATTGTTGTCCTTTAGTTTTGTTCCCGTCAAACCAAGGTTCAAAGGGTTTGGTGACAGGAAAATCTACAGGAAATGGCCCCGAAACACCGTAAATAATAAGCTGTGTTCCTGCAGATTTTCCTGTAACCCAACCCTTTGAAGGCTACAAAGGGTAGCAACTCAAAACACGACCCCAATGGCTTGCTTCCTCCGGGAGCTCCGGGCGCGCAAGACCTTCCTGGCGCGCGCCGCCGCTGTTTGCTGCGCAGTGCGCTGACGCGGCTCCTGCGGCCCGGGGAAGAGGCTCGCGGGCATTGAGATGGGTCCACACCACTCAACATACAAAACATACCGGGTTCTGCGAGAAGAAAAACCATCCCCCAAATCCATTGTGACAACAGATGCTGACCCCCTGACCCCCACTTCAAAGTTGGATGTGGCCCATTGCAGAAAAAAACACCCATTCTGGCTTCAGACATCACAGCATTCCTTAACAACATTGAAGTTGGGGGCGCGGGGGGCGCGAGGGGCAGAGAGTAGATGGGCGTTCTTTTTTTATTGGCAGAACCCAGTATGGTTGTCCTGAGAGTATGCAGGGCTCCAAACTTACATGGAACACGCAATATCACTTGGACGGAAAATTCAAGTTGTTCGGCATTCTGTTGAGTGCAATTAGTTTTCAAGGATTCCCCCCTCTTTGGAGGTTGTGTTAAAGGGAAACCCAAAAGGAGAGTCAATACAGCACGCTGACCTGACACACCTGGGAGTGCTCCTAAATAATTTGAGGAACGCCCTCAAAATGGGTTGGTCTTTCTGGCCTTCCGTCCACACAACATACCCCTAAAAAGATACCAATCATGGTGTCATTCACCGACAAGAGCTGCTAAAACAGGAATGGACGCTTGCTTGGCGGAAAGGTGCGCCTGGGACACCCCTCCCGGCCTTGAGGATTCCATGCTTGTGCCTGTATGCGTATGCGGATGTGTAGGTGTAGTAGGGTCTGTTTCTGTGTGCTAGCTTTACTTTTGTTTCCTGGTGGTTTGGTTTTCAGGTCCCAGCTGACTCTGACTCAGGGTGGGTTACAGCGTCCCACCATGGCCAGCACTGTTGGCTGCTGAACAAACTCCAGCGCGAATTGCCTTGAGAAACACACTTATAAAACTGCCAGGCTCCAATGGCCGTCAAATGGCCCCCATGACTTCTTAGCAATTCCTGCACAGCTTTTACTTCCATGTCCCGGGTTCCGCACTTCTCGAACGGCGCACAGTTGCGGTCCTCAGGCTGTGCGGTCGCCAGGGCCTGAGCCACCGAGTCGGAGCGGATTCGTCGCACGCCTATGATCTTGAATTGAGGTCCCGAGATGGAGGTCATTTACCGTGGGTTTTGCGCCCAAACCATTTCTGTTGAGCAAATGTTAGGGTAACATATGATGCCTCCCCTTGCAACATTGCCAAGCACTAGCAGACCTAGACTGATACCAACCTGCAAAACCTATAAGAAACGGATCACCCAAAACCGATACCCTGAGAATGTCATCCGCGCATCATCATATCACCTGAAACCCCATTTTTCACCATGATGATGTGCTATATTGCTTCAAAGCATTGTGGTCCAATTGCCTTCAAGGTCTTGGTGTGGTTCTCCTGCGGCTTCAAACATCACCAGTTTGGCCCTTGTTTGAGCGAGTGTCCTTCTCTCGGGGTGATGTTTTAACGGAAAACATCTTGGATCCAAGCTAGGATGGGTCCTTCGAAGGGTGCCTGGACCTATCCAGAGTGAGAATCCCCGCAAACTATCAAGCCCCCGTTTGTGGACCCAAACGATTTGTTTTTTGCAAGGTTAGATCCGCTATCGTCTGGTTGGGTTCTGGGGACTCTCAGGTCAACTCGCGGGCCCTGGGGAAGGAGTGACTCTCCAAAGGCTCCAGTTTTGGAGGTGCCTTTCTGTGTGTCTGTTTGAGGTTTCTTTTTTGATATGTTTTATTTAAGGGGAAGCCTTAAGCCAAATCATTTTGAAGGGGTCCTCCTATTTGGACAACCCCTCCTAGGTACCAAACAGGTTCCGAGAAGTAATACAGTAACCGACTCGAAGGGCTCGTGGCAGTTCGGCTGGGAAATTTGCCCACTGAAAGAAGACCATAAAGTTTCTGCTCCCAGCTTGCTTTGGCATACACCCTCTTTATTCACGTGTAGCCCAAACGTGGAACACTTTGGATGCCCAACGCAACTGTGGACATCACCTATTGCCCCCTCTAAGCACGCTTTTGGACTGCACTTTTGGGGTGGCTCCGTGTGACCCAGTCGAAGTTTGGCGTCTCGATTATGTACCGCCCACGGATGTGCTGCGACATTTACCACGAAGGCCCAAATTCGCAACGGGTACTACGTTAAAGGATGCTATGTGTAATATGCAGATACCCATATTGACCAGGGGTACCCTTCACCCAGTCTACATCTTACATGTTCGCGGGAGGGGGTTGGGCCTTCTTAGGGCCTAACCTTGGACCCAGACAAAAAAGGATCCACCTGACGTTTCCCTAAACCCCGATACGGCCGTTGAGGCCTATAGAAAAGCTCTCTATTGACTTAACATCGGGCCCGATAAATAAAGGACACCCAGTTGAAGTGAGCAAATGATAAGGATGGTCCACTCTGACATCACTGCAAGAATTAGATCCTACTACCAAATCTGGTGCTTCTAGGCCTCCGAATGGTTGACTGAAACCTGTAAAACGATCCTTCAACAGGGGCGCCCATTTTGAGATCATCTACCCATCTCCCCGGCAAATCGATTTGGATGCGAATCGAGTCGCGAGCGAATCGAAAACCGATCCGCTCCGCTCCGAAGCCTTGAGGAGCACATTGAGATCCTCGGCCTCCGGTGCGAAGCCGTTGGCCTGCGACACAACTTTTGCGGTCTCCGTTGGTCGCTTCGCAGGGCGAAAAAGCGCGGAGAAACACCATGGGATCTCCGCTGGTAGGTGGACAAACTGGACAAAATCCTGCCGTTGGTAGGTAGTTATCCCATTTTGGGGTGCAGGATTGGGTCCACCCAAAGAAAGAACATCATAAAGCCTACCCCAAAGACCTGAAATGAAGAGGTCGGGTGTGCCGCTAAGGGTATAGAGGGTCCCAGCACCAGATGTTGCGCCACATTTGACCCAAGTACATACCCATTTTACGCCTTGGCGTTCCTCCACGGGCCATACTTGGGAAATTGGTGACCAGTTCCTTTCTTACAACAAACATGACACACCTTCTTTTGTAGGACCGGGACCTCTACACCGGCTGATGTTCCTTTTTACAAAATGGGCGAGGAAAAGCGTAACTTAGGCCAGGACCAGGGCCCAGTCAAGCTGAGAAGATCATAATACCACAATTCGCGGGGAAACACATTTCATCTTACATTTTTATGTATATAGAGGTGGGACGGTGCTTTGGTTTTCCGTGCTAGAAGCTACTAGCCATATGTTCTTCCGGATGGTTTCTTTGGGAGGTTTGACAACATGGTATGTTCCTCTAGTTACCTGCTAGAATGGGGGGCAGGAGCGGGGGGGACAAAAAATGTAAGTCCGCCGACATTGTTCGGCGTGTCGGATACCTAAGGAGGATAGAGGATAACCCCCCCCCCGTAGTCCCCCCCCCCTCCCCCACGTACCGCGCGGCAATTTGATGACGGTCTGATAAAAATATCTTCGGGGAGCGTCTGGAGAAACAGGGGTCCCAGGCTCGAATCCCCCTACCGCCTCTCTCTGCCGGCTCATTGTGCTTTCCCTTTGCTGAAACCATTGAAAAACACAGTGTGTTTCGACTTCCTTGACCACCTTCTTTGCGTGACTTGTAGAGGGAATGCAGATGAGTTAAGCCTTGCCTGCATTTTGTTCTTTCAAGAAATCGTTACCGCTTGGAGATGTTCGTCCGATTACAAAAGAAGCCAAGACAAGGGAAGATAAGAGAAGATAAGAGAAGAGCAGGGCAGAAACAGGAAGAGAAGAAGAGGTCAATGTCGGCGGACTGAGCCGGAGGCTCTAAAGTTACAATTGTGGACTTTCCTGTGGGAATAAAGCATGGGTTTGTGTACCCAACAAATTGCTGATGTTCCTTTGGTTTCCCCGACGAAGAGTGGGCGGAATTCTAATAGGGGACCCTTTAAATGACACTACTTCCACCTGCATTGATGGGCCGCCAGCCGTTGTTGTGGGTGACCCCCCATGCGGTTTTGCTCCTTGGCTCATTGGACACGAAAAACATGGCCAGGCACGCCTCCATGTCGTCCAGCACGTATAACGCCCAAGCCTGAGCCAGCTTGGAAAGCACTTGGCTCGTTTTGAAGGAGCAAAGAGTCTAGCCGGGTGCTACATACGGGGGGGAGGGGGGGCTTCTGCAAAACAACACACAGGTTTATTGTCCATACGATGTTGGTGTGATTGTGGGGAAACTGCAAAAGTAATAGCTATTCGGCACCTTGTGATGGATTCGGAAGTTTCGGATAGGGAGCTGCCCCATCCCAATGCGAGCCTGCGACGTAGCAAGTCTGGGTCTGGGTGTAGTTTGTGAATGTCTGCAACATCTCGCAGGGTCCTTCTGTTTAGTACAAGAAGTCGAAAGGTCCATCAGGGTCCACAATGCTTCCCACTCCAACACTGAACCGAGTGCAAAAAAGACACACTAACTATTTGGCCATGAGTTGTTGCAATGCTTGATCCTCCACGGACTTCTATGTTTTTAGATCCCATAGCTTCCTTCCATGTGCCTTTTGGGGAGCAACAAGCCACAACATACTTCCAGGCACAATATAATAAAAAGCAAAAACGGACATATAAAGTGACCTGAAGTCGTGGGTGTGTCGTGTTTAAAGATACCTTGCCGAGGTGTTATTTAATTACCAAACAAATAAAGGGGATTCTGGGTCTCGAACCACTTTGAGAACTTCCCCCACCCAACCTCCTTCGGAAAAAGCTCTTTTCGCGCATGCCATCGCGCAGCAACCAACAGAAGCTCTTGTGGTTTGGTCGTTGCTTTAACAGACTTCCAGACGGGTTTGGCCAAACAAGTCTAAACTTTTCGTTTGCCACTAACATGGTCTTCCCAAAAAGTTGTTAAAGTCCAGGAACTCAGGGCGTGGGTTGAGGGCTTGGAACCCTCACGAGGCCAAGGCGGCGGGCTTGAGCCCCGTGCCCAGAAGCAGCTGCCGCCCAAGGCCGCCTGGTAGAAGCGGGTGCTGCCTTCCACGCCTGCACCAATGGACCAAACCAGCACGAGAGCCCGGGGAAAGCCTGGCACCCCTCGAAGATACGAAGCTGTGGGATGGCCTCAAAAGGACAAGGCCTGACTGTGGGTCCAGGGCTTCACAAGGGCTAGATCAGGTTGTCATGGTTTCTGTAAGGTCTGGTTGAGGGCTATTGTGACGGGCTTGTCAGTAAAAGTGTGGGGAGTGCTGTCTTGAGATCATAAAATGCCCGGACGAGCCGGTGAGCCAAAAACTTGTCCCACAGGCACGTCTCGCAATCATTGAGTATCTGAGGTTTATAGCCACTATGCAAGTGTATTTGTGCCTTCAGTGAAGCTGCCACTTTTGGAGGTCCAAACATGGGAAATTGAGGGATCCCTGACATACCTAAACAATGCAAAGCAGAGGTACCGCCCTGCTACCGGGGTGGGCGGGGGAGACCCCACGTGTGCCATGGTCCAAGCTGATGCCAAAGAATCATATTCAGAGGTTGACCATCCTGACCAACGCAAACTCGTCTGTACACCGCAAATCAATTCACATTCTTCACAGTTAATCAAGCTTCCCCAATAATACCGTAGTCTTGGAGGAGACCCCTCACAGAAAATCAACTCTTCCCCAATAACACCATAGTCTTGGAGGAGACCCCATCTTCCAACCCAAAGGGTCTCGACGTACCATGGCACCCGCCATAGCCAAAAGGCCCCGGCCGAAGGCTTTGGCCGCCGCAAAGAGGCGGATCACCTGGCGCGTGGCTTTATGGGGAGCCCAAGAGGGATGGCTTTGGAACCTTTTTGACAGGGATGGCGTTTTTAAGGGTCCCTTTTGTTCGGTTCGGTCAGAAGCTCCACTAGAGTATGGGTGACTTCGATGGTGAGAATGTCCTTTGCCGAGCAGGCGTCAATCATCATTTACAAAAAAAGAAGGATGGGATGGGGTTGAAGGTACCTGTTTGGCATGGTTTCTACAGAGAACCCAAAGGGAAAGCCAGCATGTTGGGGTCCAAAATGGCCGAAACACCCAGATTATCACAAGAATTGTGGGGCCAGAATGGTACAAAAATCAGGGTTCCCTCCCCCAGACAACTCCCAGGACCCTTTGGAAGACTTGGTTCCAAAAACAGAGGCCTTTTGGGAGCTTCCATGTTAGTCTGAGGGAGTGTATCCATAGCAGGACTTATGGGAAGGTTGTGAGTCGTGGCCCATAGCCCTTGATTCCGTTGCATGGTTCAGTCTTCCAGACTGCCTCCGGCCCCGAAACAAACCGCTTGTATCTTTGTCCAAGCGTGGACCCGAGGTTGTCTCTTCTGATTGGAGTGACCTGCTTCTTCACACGTCGAAGATCATTCAAAACTTCTCTCAGGGATTCTCGCCTGTCTGAGAAAGCCTGCAGCACCAATTCGACGCTATAAGTCTGGAGCAGGGCAGCCCGAAGGGGCTGAGTCAGTTGATTGGTCCGCGCACCGTTTCTTTTCGGCGGGCGTTGCGCACGCAGCGCCTTTTCATCCGGAGCACCCTTTTGTTTCCTCATCTGCCCCAGGACATCACCGCAAAACTGTTCGAAATAGGAAGGTGACGCCCAAGCGTCGCCCATCCAAACTGCCAGTACACTTCAGGTTTTGCATCCTCAAAAAAACAAAACCCACAGCAGTCATATACGGTCGCTTTGCCGTGATTGTGTGCCCCGCCAGATGCGTTAAAACAAAAACAAAAAACGGACCGCACCGCGCGCCTCCAAAGGCCGAGATGTAGCGCCCTGGCGCGCTTGGGGATTGCTCGTCATTTCATCAAGTCACCTACTGATATGAACCTGCTTCGACGCTTGCGAGTGGCTATTTTGACCATGAGTCATTGGGTGTGTCGACTTGTCATCGCGATTGCTGGTGTATACGGGGCGCTTGGGGACCCCTTTTGCCTGGCTTCCAAGAGACCTTTAAAAAACGCCGGCCATGTTTCGGGCTTCGCAGCCTTCCCTGTGTTTTTGAGAACGCCCGTGAATCCTCAGCGAGGAGTGGCCTGATGACCAGCGACCTCAAACAGTCCCAAGGGCTCCAAGTACCCCAAGTTCCCTTTAAACCAACACCCCGAAAACGTACCCTTCCTCCATAGCAAATCTGGAGGCTTGCCATGCGACTTGCCATGGTCGTGTTCCTTGTCCCTTCAAAATACCCGAAACCCGCAACCCTTCCTCGCGCCTCAGGGCTGCCAAGCACCCGCTCCCTGCAGCCTGGCTGGAAATGGGGAGGACCCCCTGTCCTCTTTGGCTGAAGACTAAAACGAGACTAGATATGTATGTGTAAAAGTATGTATCTTGAATATTAAATCTAGTATATATGTATGTAATGTACTGCACGCCTTGCGGAACCCTCGCAAAACTATCCTCCACCGCCCCCGCGCATGCCCGGAACTCTCTTGGAGCCTTTGTGGAACCCTCGCGGAACCCACCCGTGCGTCCGAGGAACCCTCGCAGAACCCTCACGAAACCTTGGAGAACCCTGGCGGAACCCTGCAGAACCTTTCCTCAGAGTCGCCCCGGACCACCCCCTAACGAAATGCAATGTAATGTGTTGTAATGTAGTGTAACGTAACGTAATGCATGCAATGTAATTAATGTACTGTAATGCAATGTAATGAAATGTAAGGTAATGTATGTATGAGTGTATCTGTCTATGTATGTTTGTATGTATGTATGTAAGTAATGCATTTCATGTAATGTAGTGCCATGTAATGTAATATATGTACTGTAATGTACTGTACTGTACTGTAAAGTGCAGCACTGTACTGTACTGTACTGTAATGCATGAGTGTATATGTGTCTGTATGTATGTATGTATGTATGTATGTATGTATGTATGTATGTATGTATGTATGTATGTCGGTATGTATGTATGTATGTATGTATGTATGAATGTCGGTATGTGTGTACACATGTATGTACACATGTATGTATACATGTATGTATACATGTATGTATACATGTATGTATACATGTATGTATACATGTATGTATACATGTATGTATACATGTATGTATGTAACGTAATGCAATAGAGTGTCATGTACATATATATATATAGGTATGTATGCAACATAGTATAATATAATGTAATGTAATGGAATGCAATGCAATGCAATGTATTGAAATGGAATGAAATGTAATGTGTGTAATGCAAGGCAATGGAATGTAATGGAATGTAATGGAATGTAATGTAGTGTAGTGTAATAAAATGTCATGTATGTATGTATGTATGTACGTATGGATGTATGTATGTATGTATGAGTGTATCTGTGTATGTATGTATGTAGTATGTATGTATGTATGTATGTATGTATGTATGTATGTATGTATGTATGTATGTATGTATGCATGTATGTATGTATGTATGCATGCATGCATGCATGCATGTACGTGTGTGTATGCAAGTATGTAAGTATGTAAGTATGTAAGTATGTAAGTATGTAAGCATGTATGTATGTATGTATGTATGTATGTATGTATGTATGTATGTATGTGTGTGTATGTATGTATGTATGAATGTATCTATGTATCTATGTATCTATGTATGTATGTATGTATGTTTGTATGTATGTATATATATATGTAATGTGTGCGCGCGTAATGTGTGCTTAATGTGTGGAAGGTGTGTAATGTATGTAGCACGCATTGCATGGTTGCATGGATGCATGCCTAGATGAATGTATGCATGCATGCATGCATGCATGCATGTATGTGTATCTGTGTATGTATGTGTGTAAGGTGTGTAATGCGTGTAAGGTGTGTAATGCGTGTAAGGCGTGTAATGTGTGTGTGTGCGCGCTGTGTGTAAGGTGTGTAATGCATGTCGTAATGTATGTACTGCATGAATGTTTGCATGTATGAATGCATGCATGCATGCATGTTTGCATGTGACTTACATAACATAGTTGTACGTGTCTGTGTGTATGTGTGCAATAGTTGTTGTTTAATTACTATTGAATATATTGCATTTGCTGTAGCATGTATCAAGATAAGCCCTTCTGGGCAAATGGTGTTCAAGGACATCCACAATGAACATCCTTTGTTTGTCCAAAGCCCCAGTGTCTAACCAAACAACAGATTGAGGCTGCCGTTTTCTCTCTGCAAGGCACATCCGTAGTGATGGGGTACCAGAAGCCATGAGATGCATGGTCTGGACAATTCACACTTTCTGTGGTACCACCAGCAGCGGTCATTCACATGACTACTTTGTCACTTTGAAGGAGGCCCCTTGAAATCACAAAAAATAGAGGCCTAAAACCATTTTTCCACGATTCAAGTGATGTTTTTTCCACAGCTGGGCATAAACTCGGAGGGGGCCGATCTGCAAACCGTTTGACTGCGCAAGCCGTAAAAACCGTGTCGCCTCCAGTTTCGAGGGATTTGAATTCAAGGGAATCCTAAGGGTGGCGTCCTTTGAAACCACACAACAGGTGGCCTCGAAAAACAAGCAACACAAACAAACACACGAAAACAATCAGGCACAGAAACCAACAAATTTGTTTGTCCCGGTGAGTATGCCCTGAGCACAACCCAGGAAAGGAACCGACCACGTCAAGGCCTGAAACTTCAATAAGGATCGGAGATTTCCGAAAGATTTGCCCAAATGGGGGTGTCTTGTTTTGAGGGAACTGAGCTTGTCTGAAAAGAAACCAGAAGGACCCCAACCACTTTTACGGCTCCCCTGGCTTCGAACACAATCTAAGGGAGTCCCGGCTTCCGGCCGTTGCCAAGCACTTTGAGTTGTAAGTCATCAACAGCGCGCGCGGAAGCCCCCGTTTGTGACGTTGCGGTAATATGCGGCAACTTGCCAAGATGTGCAAAAAGTGCGAACATCTGTGCAAACAGTCTGGTCTTCTCGAGCTTCCACAAAACAACCCAGCGTTCTCCCTTGAAAGCCCATGATGTTATATACTCAGGCTTTCTTGCCGCAGGGTCGCCGCCTTTTTGTCGCGGTGTCGCGAGGAAAACGGCGTGCAACTGTTGCAACGCTCGAAATGGGTGCCCGTCTCCAGTTCCCACTTGGCATGTCGTTCGGGTCAAGATCCCCCCTGAGGACCTGTAACAACCCATGGCAGGTTTGCGCTCTCTGGCGCTCTCTGGATGGTGGGTTCCTACCGCGGCTCCATTTGGAGGGACATTGGGGACCATCTTCAACACCCGCAAAAACTAGGGGACACGCCCAAAATGTTCCATAAGGGAACTGTAAATCTTGAGAGAACAACAACTTGAAGAAATGCCTTTTTTGAAATGGAAATACCTGTTTGGAGGTAAACCCTCCTCATCTCTCTAGGGCTTGTCCATTTTGAGGACTCAGACATGCAAATGATACACCCTGCCAGGGGTTGTCGCTTTTCGGTAGCACCTTGGGGTCAGGTTCCAACTCCCCAAAGCAACACCAACCAAAGTCAAGTGAACTCGACCGTCAACAAGTTGTCCCGCAAGTAGAGCTCGCAGGTCACGCGTTTTCCATGTAGCTGCGTTGCTGGTGCAACGATTCGGCTTAAGGGGTCCCTAGGTGGGCCAGGGCCAAAATGGCGATCGTAGCCTCTCCATGAAACATGCTATACACGGCTGAGGCTTACACACTGACATGCCCCAAAGATCTCGAGGCGAAGCTTGCCATTTTCTGGCCGCTCCGGAGAAACTCCGTCCAACTCACGTCGGGGCTCACGTCAGGTTCCTCTGGGGGTGCCACACCAGGGGACTTCTTATTCTTCTTCTTGGCGGCGATGAAGTCTGGGTCGTACTTCACCGTCCACAGCTGCTTGCGCTCGAGGAACCGTCTCAATCCCTCCTGAGCCTGGGCCTTTGTCAGCCCATCCGCAAGCTGGGCCTCCGATGAAACCCACAGCAAGGAAGTGTTCTGGCGTCTGAGGTTCTCGGCCGTCGCCATGAGCTCAAGCGCCGCATACTTCTCCTTCATGGAGTACCCTGCTGAAGCTGTGTCCTCCTTCCCAAGACGGCCTAACCAGACGCTATTTAATGGCCGGTTAGCTATATGGCCGCAAACAATGGCCGGTTGGCGTTTGACACGTTTTTAGCTGCGCAGCCATCATGCGTGAAAGATGCCGCAAGATGCCGCAAGCCTTTGTTTTAGATCGCCGGGCGTCAACAACAACCCGGTCCACCGCGAACTCCTGCAGAGAAACCCATGCGTCGCAAAACTTTTAGTGTCAGCGACGCTTGTGATGCCAATGATGATGCTGGGTGGTGATGCCAGGGGCGCTGGCTGGCGCTTGTTTTGCGGTTTCGCTTGCCAGGAAAGTCTTGCCTTGAGACGTTTCGTGTAGCTCTTTGCTTGCTCGCTTGTTGCTGCCTGCTTGTTCTGTCGGCGCTGCGTCCAAGTCCTTTCTGTTTGGCCGTTCTCGCCCACCGTCGCTCACAGCACGAAGTTTGCGGACAGTTGGTTGTAGGTCGCCGCTTTCCGTTCTTCCAAGCTTGTTGCGGAACCCGGCAGGCAAGGCCGCTTTTGGGATTAGGGTTCCCATTGACCTTGCTAGCTCCATGAGACAATCGCTTGCCGGCTTGCCCAACGAGATATCTTTGCAATGATGCGTTGCCCTGCGCAAAGCGCAGCGCCAGATACATCTTGGGCTGCGCGTGCGCCTCGTGTCAACTCTGCCTATCGTTGCCGTGGTCGGAGCGGACACGGCGTGACTGTTGTTTGTAGAGTCTCGCGCTGGCTTGGCTAAACTTCTGCGACTCAACTCTGTCACAGCCCTGCCGTCGTGCGGGGACGCCAGGTCATTCAACATCCCAGCCTCGTCCGAAAGTTACTCGCGCTGTGCAGACGCTTTGCGGCCGGAAAGACCGCCAAAAGGCTGAATTTGGGCACCGCGAAAAAGGCTCTGCAAATTTCTTGCAGGAGCCCTTCTTTTTTTGGAGCTTCCAAAGTTGCAGCTTTAAGGGGAGGATCAGTGAGTCAAGGTCGCGCTCTGCCACAGGAAGTCTGCGACTCGATAGAGTACAGAAGGGCGAGCCACCCTGAGCATCAGCTATGGGTTTCCGTCGCTTTGGTCTCCCCTCTTGGTGTTTCCAATGAAGGTCAGGGGTGGCCAAGGTTTTCACAAACGTCTCCTTGTGCTGTTGATATGTTTGCCATTGAGTCGGAACTATTGATGTGACTGCTCCGGTCGGCCTGAAACTGTGTAGGTTCTTTGCCCAGAAGCAAATGTGAAAGCCTTGCGCTTATGCAAAGCCTTGCCATA